CGCAAACATGGAGCAGGATCACAGCTGCGTTTAGTTGTCAGGGGTCATTCTCCCTCTGAAATCGATCATGCACAGATACTGCCTGTAATGTCATGTGTGGAGGAAGGAATATATGCTCATTCCTGTCTGTGATCATGCCTCTATGCATGATCCCTCAGAGAAATAAAGTTAACAGAATGAACCTACCCTTCAGTATTCCTGCTAACTTGTCCTCTTGTTGCGTTTGGCTCCGTCTCTCAGAGTCAGGAATGCGACTCCCCCCACCGCCGTGCTCAAGATGAGGGAGTGGTGGATTCATGTGGGTTTGATCTGCATCCCGCTGGTGGCCGTCTACCTGCACATCCCGCCCCCTCAGCTCTCACCTGCCCTACAGAAGTGGCACAATGCCGGAGAGGTGTTCCACTTCAGAGGCAGGAAGATCTTCTACAGAGGCAAGGGTGCACTTCAGAGTCGTCTTCAACCACAGTAATATTGTGTACTGTGATGTCAAATGTCTGCATAGACTCAGTGTTATAGTATTCGCTTGTGAGTAAGGCTGCTGATAGTGACTATTTTCATTATTGATTGATCAGTAATCTAACAGTTAGTCGTTTTAATTTATACCATGACAAAAATAGAAGCAAATGCGAGAGGCTGAGGGTCTTCAAACTGATCAGTTGAGAAAACAGCCATGTAGTTTTCAGTCAAAATGCATAATCTTCATCGTTTTTCTGAGCACTTAAAGGGCTTCTCATTGACTTTGGCTCACAAATGCACCAGATGAAGATCATGTGATATGATCAAAAGCTCCTGAGCAAAATAATATTCCGACCCTGCAGTGTGACTGTTCTCTCAGCTGCTGTTTCCAGGGTAAAGAAGGAAGGACACATTTGAAAAGCAGGGTTCAGATATTTGCTTGATCAATTAAGTTGATGAAATGGGTGTCAATTAACTGTCACACTGACTAATTGATTATCTGACTAGTCATCTAAGCCTCATTTGTATCTTTGTAGTGACCCAATCAAGCACTTTTTTTCTGTCTTACACGCCTTTTCCTCTGGAGTCAGACATTCGCAATATTCCTGTACCTCCTTGCACCAAGAGTTGTCATGAACATATTTGTCTCTTTTTTCTAACATACATGTATATATTTTTATTTTTCATTTTTTGTCTCTTTTCTCCTCCACCCAGACTCCTATGGTGCTCTTGGAAGCTCTGACATTGTCATTCTGCTCCACGGCTTCCCCACCTCCAGCTACGACTGGAACAAGGTCCCCACTGCACGCGCTCAGTAGCTAAATCAATGCACTCAAGTTTTTACAACCTCTTAAACCGTGTGTGTGTGTGTGTGTGTGTGTGTGTGTGTGTGTTTCTTTTTTCCCTCATAGATCTGGGAGCCGCTCACACAGCGCTTCCATCGAGTCATTGCCCTGGACTTCCTGGGGTTTGGCTTTAGCGACAAGCCAGTGAGTAAACTTTCTGCTCCCCCTGTAGTTTTTAAACTATGAAAATTCTGCTTTATTTTTATATATTATTAGATTTTTATATTTCCTGCATGATGCTCTGTGTCTGCACTCACCCATTACTCATGTTCTCCTGTTCATTTACCACAGCGACCACACAGGTACTCTATCTTCGAGCAGGCCAGTGTGGTGGAGGCGCTGGTATCCAATTTGGGTCTGAGCAACCAGCGAGTCAACCTGGTGTCCCATGACTACGGTGACACTGTGGCCCTGGAGCTGCTCTACAGGTGTGTGTGTGTGTGTGTGTGTGTGTGTGTTTATGTAAATTGTCAAAAGAGTAAATGATGAAGTGCTAACCACCACCGCCCCTTCTCTCTGTGCTGTTTTTCTCTGTCCTGCCAGGAGTGACCAAAATCGCACAGGTCACCTGACCTTTAACAGCCTGTGTCTTTCAAACGGAGGTACGGTGTTCTCTGTTTTCTTTGGTCGTGTTGTAGTTAACAACTGTAGGGATTTACCGCTCTGTAATCAGTACGGTAGAAAAAGAATTAATCTTTCTCAACAAGACCTCCATTCAGCCACCATTCTCCAAACAAGTCAAAATCATTTTATTGCACATCAGACTGAAACACTGTCAATCTGAAGGTGTATGCAGTTCCTGTCGTCTCAGGTTGAATCCTTCCTGCTCTGTGTAGCAAAGCAGCTTGAGCACCAAAAAAACCATTATTGACAACATTGTTTAATTATTTAAGTAATTCATCGCCATTTTCTAGATCTAGCGTCTAAATTTTAAGGGGTTTTCTACTTTTATCTCTTTATATCACTGCAAATTGAACATCTTTGGTTTTTCGGACTAGCCGTCTGAAGACTTCAGCTTGTGTTCATTAAATCATTAGTTGCAGCTCCCACACTCACACCAAGTCTGATTATTATGCTGTGAAGGACACAGGCAGTGCTGACGCTTGTATTTCCAACAGGCATATTCCCAGAAACACACTACCCACGGCTGCTGCAGACGGTGAGTCACCTTTTTTTTCTCCCACTTACTTTTCAGCACAGTCATGCACAGTGTAAGATTTTAAGAAGCTGATGAGAGTGAACAGGAATTTGTTTTGTATCCCAAAGCTTCTGAAGGACTCCAGTTTTCTGGCTCCACTCCTGACTCGTCTCACCAACTATATGATCTTCCAAAAGGGGTAAGCGGGACCAGAGGCTTGTTCCAAAGTGACAGAAACACATGTACCAGTGTGTGAAGTTTGTTTTCTGTTGACTGGCAGGATCGGGGAAGTGTTCGGTCCGTACACGCAGCCCACAGACGCTGAGTTCTGGGACATGTGGACGGGTTTGCGCTACAATGATGGCAACCTAGTTTTGGACAGGTGTGTGTGTGTGTGTGTGTGTGTGTGTGTGTCTCTTTGCTCACTCTGTGTTGCTTTCATCACTGTCCCCCTCTGTGTTCACTCACCTCTGCTTCTGCTTTCTCAGTATTCTCCAGTACATCAACCAGAGATTGAAACACAGAGAGCGGTGGGTGGGTGCGCTCACTTCCACCTTTGTCCCACGTGAGTTGCGTCAGACAGTTCCTGATGTGTGTGTGTGTGTGTGTGTGTAGAAATCAGAGGTTGGATTTTGTGTTGGCCAAGCACTTCCTTGAGGTGTATTGACCCAGCAGCCTCGTCCAGAGAGCTGCTGATGCTAAGCTGCTTACGCTGCGAGGAGCGGCCTCGTAGTCCATCTGTGATCACGAGCTCAGGAAGGAAGTGTGTGTGTGTGTGTGTGCTACTGACACAGACTTCATGAACAATGCAGCAAATAGGCTTTAGCATTGTCATTGTGAGCATGCTGACATACGCACCCAAGTCTCAGTGTTCCGCCCTCCGTCTTGTTTTGCAGTGCACATGATCTACGGACCCCTGGACCCGGTCAACCCCCATCCTCAGTTCATCCGTGTTTACCAGTGAGTGCCCCCTCCTGACTCTTAAACCCCGTTCAGATGATCTGTAATATGCCTCTCCTGACAGATCCTCCTGACTCATTGAGTCTGAAAGAGGACAAAAAAAAAAATCTAATTTCATACATCACTTCACATCTTTGGACTTTAGTTGCATTTACAAATGTCAGATGAGGGCTGTGTAAAAATGTGTTGTTTAAAAAAAAAAAAAAAAAGTAAATACCTGTAATAGTCATCTTTTCATTTGTATATGGAAATTAGTTTCGGTCCATGTGTTTCAGTTTTTTTTTCTTCTGGTTTCACGTCATGTCATTTCTGACAAATAGCAGTCAAACCTATTTAAGGAAATGAAGCAGCAGATGGCGCGGTGGGGTGGGGTGGGGGCAGGGGTTAGGATCCATAAGGTTGAGAGTTCTAACCACAATCAAGGCAAAACTGTGAGAATAAGAAGTGCTTTTTTAGCTTTAAAAAAAAGAAATTCCTTTTTTTAAAACCCACTACTACCAACTTCACTCTGAGGTTTCACATTTTCACACAGTTGGAGTTGGAGTCTCGTTCATTCACATCTGAGTCTTTCCTCTGAGACAAAAAAGCTGCATCGTCTCCTGTACAACTTTGCTCAGATAGTTTCCTAGTTTATATCCACCATAGAAAAATGGTCTCCCTGGAATAAATGAAGTCATGAAATATTTTGATGAAGTACTTTTGTCCATTTTAGTAGAAATAAGGATAGAAAATGAAAATGTAGTAAAGATGCCCAGTTAGGTTCAATCCAGGCACATTGTGGCTCACGGTCATGACCTTAAACAACTAGGCCATCAGGACAGTTCACAGATCCAACACATCATTCCTAATGTTTGTTCCAAACACAGCTTTGCTCTTGTGCCTTTTGTGCACTAATGATCTTGTTTATCTAAAGCATGCACCTTGTCCCTGCAGGCAGCTGGTCCAGAGGTCGACAGTCACCATTTTGGATGAACACATCAGTCACTACCCTCAGCTGGAGGATCCCACTGGCTTCCTCAATGCATATTTCAATTTTATTCACTCTTTCTGACGGGAAATGCAACAGCCATGTTCAAGAATGATGCAAAAACCTGTTCAAGCTGAGTGTACCAAAGTGATAAATGATCACATGTGGTGGATAACACTCTCCTGATGATTGTAACCAGGAGAAACGCTGCTTTAAACTGAGATTTCATCACAACTGATGGGTTACTTTACCAGCATTAATCTCTGAGATGTCAGGTCCCATCACAGACATAAAATCTGAGCTAAAAAAAACAATCGATCAATTGTACTTAATGCAACTGAATGACTAATCTGATGGTGAGTGTTCAATTATAAACCCTACGAGGAAGCATGATACTGTAAGTTCAGTTTGATTGTGTGACCTTTGAACTTATCTGTGGGACACTGTTTTGATTCCCTGTTTCCTGGTGTTTGTTTTGTCCTGCAATCAGCTGCATTCTGAATGAATTTTGATATGATTTTCTACATGTGTCTTGATGTTCATGAAAAAACTAAATGTCAACTTTTCTTCAAATAAAACTAGTTTTGTAAAAAAAAAAAAAAAGTATTTTTTTTATGACACAAATGGGACATGGTGTGTTTTGACAGTCAGGACTTTATTGTAGATTTGACAGAAGAAAATTCTTACTGCGAAGGGTGAGGACCAGAAGACAGTATAAAGAAAACACTTCAGTTTATATGCTAGAAATAATAAAACCATTTGTTGTTTTTCAAGTTGGATGGTGTCAGCGTAACAATTACAAAAGCATTACACATGTAATTTTAGAGCTGTGAAAGTGACATTTCAGACAGTTTGTCGTGCAGAGATAACATGTCTCGCTGTTGCGTTTAGCACAGAGTTGCACTGTGAGCACGTTAACCCACAGAGGCCAGGATGACATCAACAACGTTCTCCTCTCCGCTGCGAACCGTCACCTGCATGGTGACGCCATCGGCCAGCGCCAGGCGGGCACGAACCAGCACGTCGTGACCCCCACGAAACACACCTGAGAAGAGAGGGAGAGAGAGCTGTTGACCAATCATATCACATCTTGAGTCAGCAGACATGTCAGTTACAAAGGTATTTTTAAATGCAGTCTGGACATAAGGCATATGTTTTATCAGACAGGTATCAAAATGAGAGAATATGTTCTTAAACCACTGAAATCAATCTATTTGTAGTAATGTATGTAGTACTGGTGATACGAAAAAAAGCCTTTTTAGACCAAAGAGTGACTGTCCTGACATCCAACACCCACCAGCGAGGAAGAGGACGTGCGAGTTCTTGTTTTCTGGAACTTTGTCTGAGCGCTCACATGGCTGCATTCCCAGGAAGCTGATGATGTTACCCACCGCCTCTGTACATGAAAAACACAGGTTAGTCACATAACGCTGACATTCCTTGACATGCTGTGTTAAATCTCTGGAAGCAGTTATTTGCAAAAATATACAAAAAGTACTGAAACTTCAGACTTGAGTCCAGTTTGTAAATGAAAAGTTAATGTTGAACATTCAATACAAGTAGTAAGCAAACATGCATCTATTTGAAGAAATACACCTCAGTACTTTCACCTTTATTTTCAATTAAGTGCATTAGAAATTTCAGCCTAAATTTTGGACTTGTGCGTACCGTCTAGAGTCCGTACAGACGCGAGTGCAAAGGTTTCTTCCTTCTCAAATTCATCTCCCACTTCTTCCCACGCTGCTCCAAAGTTTGGTTTCAAAACCTTCTGGATGTGGTCTGCGACTGTCACCTCCAGATCCTCCAGCTGAAGAGGAACAGAGGACAAGAAACGCATAAAAAATTAGAAAGATCGAGACAACAAAGACAAACAAAAGAATAAGATCATTTACATTGATGAAAACACACAAAGCTCCTTGTTTTGAGAGATTGTAAATGTGCTGCGACCACATACCACATATTCATCGTCATAACCGTCATCGTCAGGCTCTCCTGTGTTGGGGTCGCAGTCCCTGACAAGGTACTTCATAGTGCAGCTGAATGTACAAGACACTGTGGACAGACGGGACACATCAACAATCGTCATCCTCACTGAGCTCTTCTTCACTTTGCTTATTCAGAAACACATTTTCTCCTCAAAACCTATTATTTTGGACCTTGTACATGTATCACATATAACAATGTTTGCAGCTTCTGGTGACTTTGATTTTCCTGTTGTTGATCTAAATGTTATGAACTCTCAGTTTCTTTAAGCAGCAAATCCAAATCCTGTTTTTTCTGTCACTGCCTCAGTAAGTCCCACAATGCCCCAGTGGTCTTACCAGCAGTGGGGTCGTCATCAGGCAGCCGGACCAGAGTGTAGCAGGAACCGGGCTGACTGTAGGGGAGGCTGGCAGCGGGGATGTAGTGTATCACCTCGTACGACTCAGATGGTTCCATCTGCACTATGACCTGACAAAAAGCACCACATGTTACATTCACAACTGAAATCCCGACACACCAATACAAAAAGTAAATTATAAGAGCGTATCTAACTGAATCTCCATGAAAAAAAACAAGTGAGCAGTAACACTGCTGGTACCTTCTGCAAGAGCTGGTCATTCAGAGTGTTTGTGCAGTCGAACTGGAACACCATGTGCCTGGCGAAGGTGTGTTTGACGCAGCGCACCACATATTCTGTCTCAGCCTCCGTCAGCTGCACAGGCTCTGAAGATTTGAAGAGCGGGCCGAGACCCTGGAACTCTGGGATGGATGCCAGTTGTTCTGTCCGAGGGACGAAAAGCAGAGACAGATTAAAACAAAGACAAGGCAGGCTCTTTATTCATTATATCTAATCAAGCCAATACACTGTGTACAAAGGCAAATATCAGTCTCTAACTGCATCATGCACGTCTTGAACCCCATGAAGGACAGATTGTGTTTACAATCATACCCTGATAAATGTCCTGGCGTGAGGGGGCCAACTTTTCTGGCAGTTTGCTGGTAGCAACAGGGGCAATTTCTGGAAGAAAAAAAAAAAAAAACATTAACAGACACTCCTTAACTCTGAATCCTGACCATAATAGTTTTTCAGTTGAGTACAAAAATCATGAGAAACCCAGTTTGTACCCGTCTTCTGTTCTGTGATGGGAGTGGTGGCCAGAGGGACAGACTTCATGTCGAAAGGTTTCTCCGAGGGCTCCAGGGTATACTGGTGGAGGGACTTCTCCAGGCCGGGGATAGAGACAGACAGACCTGAGAGCAAAACACAGAAGAAGAGACTTCAAGGCTCAACATTTTTGCTGTGCTTGTCGAGGTTTTGCCCTGTGAGCTGCCTGGCGGGAGCCCAATCAAGGCGCTCTTAGCACATATGGCTCAGGAATTTTTCCAACCAAAATCAATTACTGTGTGTGTATGTGTCTGTCTTACCGTTGAAGATGTAGGCTGCATTCAGAGCCTTCTGCTTCTGCTGGAGCACATTCATGTAGAAAGTAGCTCTGTCACGCACCTCATCATCACTGTCCATCATGCACCTGTAAGAACAGACAGATGTTAAAGGTATACTACACCACATATTCAGCAACAAAACCTAAAAGTAAATATGTATAAACTCACTAACTTAATGACTTCTAAAGAGTGAGAAAGGTCTAAATTTACCCAGGTCACTGATGGTCATAAAATAAATGGTTTAGTCAAAGTGTTTTTTCCAAATAAAGTGAAGGATTGCAGCCACACATGAAAGGAAAAAACACAACCAATGAAAGTAAATGAATACCTCTGCATGAGAACCAGGACACTTGGCAGCAGATCATCATTCTGAGCTCCAAATTTAGCCAAAGCACTGACCGCAGCTGAGGGGTGGAGGGAGAAACAAACACATATTTATGAACTAGTAAACTGGTTGTGATGTAACTGCATAATATGTTGCTTAAGTAAGAGGCGTGCGGACATAAGAGTCTCAGCATGGATATTGAAGATCAGCATCTGGAGTTTCCAAAGGTTAAGATACACGAAATTCTGAGATGCTCGCTTCCTGAGTTGGTCTCACCTGCACGAACAGCCTCGCTCTCCAGCACCACGCGGTTGAAGATGAAGCGGATGTATTTGGAGGGCTGCGGTGTGCGTGGACCCTCTTTGCCTAGGAGGTGCAGGATCTTGGTGGCCAACACCGTGTGCTCGCAGTCCTCGATGAACTCGCACAGGTGGGCCAAGCCCGTCTCTTTGCTCTCTGGGTTCTCCTCAATGATGCTGATGATACAATCCACAATGGCCCGCTTGTACTCAAAACCGCCCTGCAGGGAGACGAGAGACGGTCACTGTGAGGCCTGTGCTCAACTTAGACGTGAACACACAACTGCAACATAAACCGTAGGCTTTAACTTAAGTAATAGTCATCAGAACACTGATCTACTGGGCCAGATAAAAAGCCTCAACCACCAATATCAGTGGACAAACTGATAATAACTAAGCATTATCCATCCACATACCTATGTGTGGTAATTTTAACTTGTATTTATCTTTCAATAAACACTCATTTTCTTGCACTACAAATAATTATAATACTAAATATTTAATGAATTACATAAAAAAAACAGCATTTACAGCAAGTTTTCTGTGCAGCTAATGATATCATCAAGGAAGGTCCCTCGCAGGGCAAAGACCAAAGAGTGAAGGATAGTCAGTGTTCTGTTAATGATCAACTTACATCATCTCTGAGCATGTTAGACAAGAAGTTCATCATGACGCTGTGCTTCCTGGGATACTTCTGACACAGAGCGCTGATGGCCTGCACCACCACCACCTGAAGTAAACAAGTATCAGGGACAGATTCAGGACGACAGACAACACAACAGAAATAACAGGATTTAAAAATGGGGACAAAGCATTGAAATTCATTTTAGAAATTAATCTTTCCTGGCCACAGAAGTGGAAATCCAAAGGGATAAAAAAAATAATAAAATAAAAAATACTCTCAATACATTCTCACTTTCAACAAATATTGTATTACAAAACCAGTACAACATTCAGGCGGGGGACAACGACTGTCGTAGTTTTTTAAAAAATTTTTTTAACTTAAAGTTCTGCCTGGTTTTCCTTTCTAAAAGTCTATTTGACAGCTTTTCATACATAAAGAAAGCTTAATTGTTTATCTGTTTCTTGCTCAGTGGAAGTCAGAGGTTGGACTCGATTACAAATCACAGATCATAGATCATAGGATTTTGAAGTCCCAATTGAGGACATTTCAGCAGGTAACATAATGGCTTAGGTCAGATCTTTCTATTCATTATTGACCCCCGTGTGTCTGGATTTTGTTGTACTTTGTTTTCAAATACAGGATAAAACAAGACTAAAACAAAAATGTCTGACCTTGAACTCGTCTGAGATCTCAGAAACAAATGAGGAGATCTGCTTCATGAGTCGGTCCACGCTGCTCTCACTGCCGGTCTTGAGCAGAGTGGTGATGGCCAGTGTGGCAATGCTACGGTTCGAGTCAGTGATCAGGTTCTCCAGGTCCAGATTGCAGGCTGTGACGGCTGAAGGATGCTTCATCGCCACCTGGTGGACACAAAGGAAGTGTCAGTATAGTGCTCGAGGTATCACTATTCATCTTTTACTTTGTTTTGAAGTATAAACAGTGCTCTGTCAGCAAAGGTAAAAAATAAATTACTGCAATGCACTTTCAGTCATGTCTTAAGTATCTAGCTGAGTAAGAATAAAGATCTTTTATGTGATATTGCTTTAACACATGTGCAACAACTGAATAACAAGCCATGTAGAGAAGGGATGGGGAGGGTCCTGTACCTTGTTGAGGGTCCTGACTGCAGCGTATCGCAAGGCAGCTTTAGGAGAACTGCAGAAGAGCTGTAGCACTGCAGGAGGACACACACATTAACAATTACATTCATAAACATGTAATGAGAGGAGTAGCTCAAAACCATTCATCAAACATCATTGAATTCTGTCAGCACAGCACATCCTGCTGACGCCAAAATTAATCTAAGAATAAACAAGGTATGCTCTGAATCAACAATACAGAGAGACGGCGCAAAATAAATGGAGAAAGAGAGTGAATGTGATGTGAGAAAACTACTGACCTGACACAGCAGGGGCCAGCTCTCTGGCAGTACAGTTGGGCATATGGACAATGGCAGAAGCAGCCTCATACACCACCATCTCATTCTTGTTCCTCAGGCAGCTCTCAATGAAGTCAAACAAGGGGCTGTCGTGACTATAAACATGAAGATAAAATACAATGCTGTCAACAGCCTCACAATATGCCTATAATACTATATATGATAACAAATAACGCATAACTCAGGAATCAGCTGTTCTATACAACTACCCAGATGTCCCTCTGTGTCGAACCACTTCAGGTCTACTCACCCGCCCTCTGTCTCATCCAGCAGTTTGCTGGCAATCCGGATGAGCATGCAATAGGCGAAAGGAGACTTGAGACCAGACTTGGTGAACTTGTTAAGCATCTTGGTGACAGCAAGACGGTCGTTCTTCCTGAGGTGATACAACAGGCCCAGGGCATGGTACTGGAGAACAGAACACACACAAACAACAACATTGATATCGAACTATATTAGTTGAATCTGAACCAACTGACATGTTAAATTTATGAATACTTAGTGTGATGCAAAAAAATCAAGCCTCCCCTGTACACCTACAGTATACATATATATATATATTTTTTGTCTTCATGTGTGTTTGTCCTACCCACCTGGACCATGATATTGTCACTGGAAGCAGCTTCCTGGGCTTCATTCACCCAGCGCTTCACCACATCATAGCTCATCTTCACCATGTGCTGTACACATACAAACAGAAAAGATCACTAGCAAGAATACATTGGTATACAATTACACAGTAGTAGTAGTAGTAGTAGTAGTACTAGTTCATATTAATCACATGACAACAACATTTTCAAGTAAAATCTGATACTGTTCCATGTCTTACCAATGAGGAGACCAGGGCAGAACTGGACACACTGGGCACTTTGTCAACAATAGCCTGCTTCATGTACCTCTCAATGGCCTGCAGCATGGTGGTCTGTGGGGAAGATGGGGAAAATGTAGTAAGTACAGTTGGAGAATATAAAGGGTATTTTTTTGTCATGGCAAAGCGAAGGAAGAGGTGGGGGCAGATTACAAAGATGAAGCAGCACTCACATCTGTAATCCTGCAGAGGGCTCTGATGGCAGGTCCTCGGTACACATCTTCCTTCCCTGTCATGTCCTTGGTCAGGCTGTAAAATACCACGTGATAAAAAGTTAAGACACTGTGACCTCAAAAGAAAAGTGGACACATTACAACCCTTACAAAACACATTTACAAAGACTTGCTCTCCTCTGTGGTTATTTAAAATAGTCAAACACATCTTTCCTTTATCACAGATTTCACAACAAAAATAATCTAATTTTTTTTATCCATCCAGATCTGTAACTCTATGTATCCTGGAGTTACTGGGTGATAACAGCTGTACTATAACAACAGATGTTAATAAACTGCAGAGTGCTTCAGACACTTCCTAGGTGAAATATCACTGTTTTCTTGCATGTGATACTCAAAGCCATAGCCATGTCATGGTACAAACCTGCTGGTGACAATGATGACATCCTCAGAGATGTTGGCCATCTCTTTGATGGTAAGGTAGCACATCCTCCTCAGGGTTTGCTGAGATGAAAGAGAGTATACCTTTTATATATTTGCATTTCAACAATACAGACTGACTATGCTGCTTGGGCTAAAATGGAATCAAAATGTTTTAAATAAAATCAGCATTTTCTTACATCATTGGACTGAAAGAGCCTTGTCATGGCAAAGAAGGCCTCGGTAGCCTCTGTGGTCCCAAAATGCTCTCCCTAAATGAACAAAGACATGGAAGTGAGAGAGAGTTAAGATGTTAACATGAGTGGACAGACATCAAATCAAAACATGCCAATAAAGAGTTACATTAAGTTTTTGTCAATCGACTTTTGTACCTGATTGAGGAGGTAGATAATCTTGGTGAGAATGTGGAGGCATCTCCTTGGGTTGATAGGTGTCTCATTGAAAATTCGTGCCTGTGATTAAGAAATGTCACCTTATTTAATTTCAGTGGATTATTTCTTTGGATACTTTTTGCCTTATATGTGAAAAACGTGTGTTAAGCAAAACCAGGTGACGACTTTACCTCTTGCAACACGGCACTCTTCTCCAGGTGTTGGAAAGGGTTCGACCCACTTCCTAAAAGTCAAAACAGTGGGGTCAGAAGTCTGTGCAATTAACCGTTATCCTCTTTTGCTGAATTTTATTTAAACCCAACACACACTACTTAAACTACATACATTTAACGGAATTCAATTCAAATAATCATAGAATGAACCAGAAATAACACACGCACACTTAAAGCCAGATCTCCACTCATTTGAAGCAACAATCTCAACACAGGCTGAGTTTAATGTCGGAGCAGACATATTTAATAACTCGTTAATTATCATCACAACATCCAGCTGGCACTGCCGAGCCTGTGATGCTAGTATGGCTAGCTAAGACTGAACATTAACGGAGTCACATTAGTAATTTAATGTCAGTAATTTAATTGCAACTGCACCTCAGTTTACAACCGACCTAAATACATATAAACATGTACATATAAATTGTCTTTCAAGTCACGGTTACCAGTCATGTTCATTTATCCTAGCTAATAAGCTAACAGGCTAGCACCGCGTTAGCTTTCAAAGCGAACAAGATCTTGTCAGCCCAGAAACGATTTCATTTTTCAAGCGTTTACAGTATCTAAAGTAAAAAAATAACAACTTTCCAATCTTACCAGACTCCTCGTCCTTCTTGTCAAACTTTTTAATCATGATTTCGGAATGAAACTGACGGATGAGGGCAGAAGATGCTCTCAGCCTCGGTCATATGAAAAGCTACTTCCACGTAGCCGAAGTGAAAACTCTTCCTGTTGCAACGTCCACGTCGACGGAACTACGTCAGAACCATTCAATATCAGGACCGGCAGGGGGCGCCGCTGCTACATAATCCATTTACCTTTGCAGATGGGTAGTAAGACTTCTATTAGAATTGATAGCAATTGTTAAAACGTCCTTTTATTCTGTTTATTCAATTTGAGCTAAACAGGGTCGCTACAGAGCACTATTTTATCGAAAGCCAACTTGTGGTGGACAGTATGGGCATGGGGAGTTGGGAGGACAAAAATAAGCACTTAGAATGAGCCAACTTCAGAGCAACAGTGCAAATCGACAAACTGACTCAAAACTGTGATATGGATGAAATATAAAGATTTTTTTGACGTTTTTACACAAGACCAGCAAGGTGACCTGTGGGACTACACACCTGCAGATATGCTTCACAATTTGGGGTGTAATTATCACACATGAGCACAAGATGGCGACATTGGTCTCTTATATGAGGCACGTGAACTCTTTAACCCCAAACCCTAAAGCTTCTTTAGCCTGATTTGTTTGAATTTTTTTTGTTAAATGTATTTTTAATGGTAATACTAACACGAATTCTAGTATGGGTCTTACATTAAATGTGATGATTAAAGATTGGTGACCAAGATATGTACTAACTGGTATATTTAGCAAATGAAAAGAAACATGTCAGTTCCCTCTGGTGGGCAGAGTATGTAATGGCAGTACTTTCCAAACTACCTATGAAGTCCATGGCTTAAACATATGATTTGCATCTCATCTCTGTACTGCAATTTATGTTACTTACTGTCAGACATATACACTGATACAAATATATATCTATGATAAGATCATTTCGGTCGGTTATGCCGGTGTATCAGTCAAGCTTTATGAATAATAAAGAAGTAAAGGAATAATAACTTATAGGAATATTTTATGAATCCCATTGTTCCTAATGATGCATATAAAAGGCAAATGTAGTTAGTTACATCTGCTTTATTTGAGGAAAAATAATCCTTTATTTTGAGTATAAAAATAACAGACATCTGATGAACACATACATTCCCATGCATTTGCATTTTACTGTATTTCATGATCATGTAGTTGGTTTGTACAATAGCTCAGTGTCAGTGCTCAATGTTGTGTTTTGCCACTCTGTGTTTTCACCTAAAACCTGGAATAGTTACAGGCTCCCATGTACAACAAAGTCATAAAGAGAAAAAAAACAAAATAAATGTAACGATTATGCAACAGAATAGCAAAACATTTCATTGGTCTTTTGCTAAGGACGTAAGAATTGATCATCACAGCTCCTTCCTTGTTCTTCTTTAGTCTAAGGTTTAAATTTTGATGACTCTGGGGTAAAGTAAAGGCATTAAGAATTCATTTTACTGGAAAAGAAAATCTGAGATCTGTGCCTGCTTCATTACAACCAATGCCCATCTTCAGTCTTTAATAATAATAATAATAATAATAACAATAATAATGAACAGGAATCTCAAAAGTTTCTTTTTAGACTTGAAAGGAATCTGCCACAGTGTGAGATCATTTCACTTATTTCTACTGCAAAAAGTATATGTCTCATGTCGTATTGGCTGAAATGATCAATCATCTTGATACAAGTGAAATGACTTTGTCCTTATTGCTCTTGACCTTACTCTGTCTTGATTCAAGATAGTGACACTGTTGCTGGAAAATGTCCGATACTGCATAAGAAACAAGTGGACTATTCTCACTGAAACTGCAACATAAATAAATTAAACGTTAAAAATTAATTTAAGAATAAATAACTTCGTAAATTTGACAGTTCTAGTCAACTAGATTTATCGATCAAATGTTGTACCTATTATTTACGAGTTTGACGCTGAGCTGTCCTAAAACAAAAAAAATCAAGAATCATCATCCAACTTTTAGTCCCTAATAGCCGTTTCCTCAGTGTTTTTATTGGAGCAAAAAAAGATGAGAGATTTTGATCCCAAAGACCTTTCACATGAGAGCAACTAAGTTATCGCGATATGAGAAACGCTTCTTTACCTGTAATGTGTGGGCATTTAGAAGAAAATACCGTTACCCTGGAGGAACAAATCAACACAATAACTTTAAAAGTGAACAAAAAATAATTCAGTACAACTGAGTAGCGAGGCCAACACTGGTCATGGCTGTCTGTTAAATTAAAGTTGTCCAACATGTTCACTTTCTCCGTCCAATCTGCGCCAGGAGACGCGCGTTCTCCGCCGCCTTGGCTCGCAGGTTTTTGGCCTTGGCCACATCAAAGAGGACGTTCATGATGTTGGTGGGGACGTCCAGGGACAGGGTCAGTCTGCTCCTCCGGTCCCCTTTGCTGCTGTTCCGGAGCATCTGCCCTCTGAGCTTCGTCCTGCTCATGAAGCGATAGTTTGCGGGACTTGAGGTCCTTTTTTCTCGGCTGGACTCGGCAGAGGAGGAAGAAGAGGAGGAGGAGGTGAGATACTCCGCGGACTGCAGGAGCGACCCCCAGCCGTCCATGGGGGAGTAGCCCGGCTCGTCTTCGTCACTCCGGAGCCCGACTGACACCTGGTCATCGCACAGGAGGTCGGAGCGAGTCTGGTAGAGACGGAGGCACAAGCTGGAAGTCGGTGTGCACAGGACCGAGAGCAGCAGCAGGGTCTTCAGGGACGACAGCATGTTGTGTCCTCTGGGACCAACACAGGCGAAGAGAGAGAAGCAAGAAAAATGTTTACTTCATTTGCCACTTAGATTTATTAATCTTAAAGCAAGTGACAAAAACAGGGTGAGCATGAAGTGGCTCTTAAAATAAGATGCAGTGAGTCTTAACACTGCTCTGACAAGCACTATCTCTTCAATAAAGTCAGTTAAACATGTTAATTTACACTGAAAACAAGCATAACACTCTTCCATAGTGTTACATCTCTATTCTCTGGTTAAAAAAAAACATGATATCAGGACTCTTAAGATCTTGTTTAGGTTCGATGGTTCAGAAGCTAAAGCTTTTACGTATGAAAGTTAAGTGTATTTTGGGCCACAGGATAATGATTAAAGGAAATGCAATAATTTTCATTCAACTTACCACTCAGTATCTTATAATAAAGAATACAGTCAGAGAGGTCAACCAACACGTATCCCTGCAGAGAAAAAAACAAACAAGGCAGAAATCCTCACAAGTGAAACTCTGATAAGAAATCCTGATAAAGTAACAGTGAGTTTGGAGGTCAGCAGCGCGCCCTGTCTGACCAGCAGTGTGTCTTGCTCGTCCATTCCCACTGCATTCATTTAGTAGGAGCCATCAAACTGCAGCCCTACGCCAGCAACAACGTCATCCCGTTGACATGTTGCTTTGCTCTGGACTGTACCCATTGGTTGTGATGCAGTGATGTAGTGGTAAATTAAAAAAAAAAAAAAAGTTGGTAAATGTGACCTCCTGTCGGTGAACATGAGGCATCACGACTACAGACATTTAGGAAAAACTTATGTTTCATGCAGCCAGAGACGTTGTAGTTTTACATCCAGTTTCATATGATGGTGTTCACAGTAGTGACATACGCCTGAAGTTAACACTTTACTCACCCTAAAAGATTATTTTAGTATTAAAAACATGCTACATGGCAGGATTGTAAAGTTCAGACCGCAGGCAGCTCACATTCAGGACCAGGGACAGCTCATCATTCAGGACCACGGACAGTTCGTCATTCAGCCAACACTTTCTTATATTTAAAGCAAATAAAGTATAAAACAGAAAATGCAAATCTTTATCTCTGCAGTGTCGTACTGAGGTCATATGGAAGACTTAATAAATTTTATTTCTCTATGAAAGATACCTTGTTTAATGCCTTATTGTGATATATTTGTGTACAGTGGTTAGAAGGTCTCCTCTTGTACATTTTCACAATTATGTGCAAACTTAAAATTAGCAGTACTATTTAATGAGTCGAGTAATTGGCAACTATATTGATAATTAATAAATAGCTTGTATTCATTTTTACAGTAAAAATATCAAACATTTTCTCAAATGTGAGGATTAGGGTGGGGGTGGGGGCAAGAGGAAATAGAGAACAGCGTAATCCAGCTTCCACATAGAGATTTATAATAGTGATCATAATAGGATAATATTAATAATATGGCTAATAATGATATTGATAAAGAGGCTATTAATGACACTCATGATAATAATTGTAGCAGTGGGTGTTAAGCAGGATCATGGAGGCAGTAGGTGGCTTGCAATCACAGATCCAGACTCTGCAGCTCCAGAGGCAGCAACACCTGCAGAAAGCAAGAGGACTTTAAAGGAGTTTTATGTTTTAAGGCTACTCTTAAATATAAAGAGGCCGTCTGCCTCCTGGACCCAAAGATGATTCCACAGGAGAGGGCAGCCTGACAGCTGAAGGCTCTGCCTCCCATTCTACTTGTGGAGAACCAAGTAAACCTGCATTCTGTGAGAACAGTGGTTTAGTGGGGTAATAGAGTACTATGAGTTCTTTAAGATATGATGGTGCCTAACCATTTAGCGCTTTGTACGTGAGGAGATGGAATTTTAAATTCTATTCTGGATTTTATCATATTTTTGAAATGTTATCTCTTTTCCTAGTTCATGTCAGCTTTGCACTGCAGCATTTTGTATCAACTGGATAGTCTTTAGAGACTTGTTGGAGCAGCCTAATAATAAGTAACTGCAATAATACAGCCTGTAAGTAACAAATGCATGGACTAGTTTTTCTGCATCTTTTTGAGATGGGATGTACCTGATTTTTGCAATTTTATCTAGAGAAAAAATTACAGTTCTTGATGTTTGTTTTATGTGGGAGTAAATGGACATATCTTGATCCAAGATAACTCTGAGATTCCTTACAGTGGTGCCTGAAGTCAGGGCAATGCCATCTACAGTAACTATAGCATTAGATAATATGTTTCTGAGTCTGTGTTTGGGGCCAAGTACAACCTAATGGTTTGCAGTGATGAAGTCTGCAGTTGTAAACGTTGGATTTTGGTCCAGATGCTCTGTAGCCCTTTGTTAGAAGGAAAGTGGTCGTATTCATGTAGGAGTCTTGATGAAGTGAAGTGCTGGACAAAAGGACAAAGGAAGAGACTGGAGGACAATAAACTACAGCGAAAGGGATTTTTTCACAACCTGGCAACTGGTGATAACTGATCTACTAGCATTAGCAAACACCTTAATAACCATAATAAAGTAATTAGTTACAATTTATTAACCCTTATAATCCTTTGAATAGATATATGATACATTGTCACCCCTATCAGTATCAGTTTGCAACATACACAAAGTTTTTCCCATCAGATTTCTTCACTGATATCACTTTCAAATCTACTGATGCAGACTTTGTTTATGTGGTTTCTTTGAAGCTCAGGGAAAAGGCTCAAATGAGTAAGTAACGCATAACAACTGTGTTTGATAACATTACCCAGTATATATGATTTGCATGCTGGATATATGGTTACTTGATTTCAAAAGAGGAAAGACATCTGACATGTCTTGAGAAGATTGTGTTTTAATTAAAACTTTGAGTGCGCATGCGACACACACCATGGAAACCACCCGCAGTGATGTACATTACCACATCAAGATGAAGGAAGAGCAAGGAAGGACTGAGAGGATCAAAGGGTGTTGGGTCAAGCTCTAATGAGCAACTTCATTGTAGGATTAATATGACTGCAAGTCTTCACAGCTGGAGTAATCACAGTCTGTGACACACAGTGCAACGAGATGTCCTCCCACTCTTGCCTCCGCTCTGCAATTGATCTCTGAAATGGAATGACTTGCTCCGCCTCAACTTCAATGGAAAATCACACTTTCATTACATTGCTAGATTATGTTGTTGTTAGACACTTGAACTAGGAAGTCATCTGTGTCCTTGCATTAAGGCATTTTACTCATTGTAGGTGTGAAGGTGTAGTGGCCACGTTGCATATTTTATTTTAGTCTGGTATTGAGTCTTATTGTTAATAAGTGGTAGAATATCTACCAATAGGCTGAGGTACTTTCACTTTTATTTGATACAAAGTTGTTTCACTGTCACTAGTGAAAACTTTCTAGAGGAAAAGTCCCCAAAATCATTAGGATATCTGTGCCAAATTCCATGCCAACCCATCCCATAGTTGTTGAGTTTCTACAAATGGTTTGTGTTGTTGTTTTTGCAGTGTGGGACCTGTCTAAGGACTTGGTTTGGTTGTGGTTGGCAGGGGGTGTGGTTTCATTGAGAACAGCCTGTCACTGGAGACTGTGTAACCATATCTTGCAGATCTATGAAGCATCTCAGCATGTGGGAGTATATTATGGTGCAGAATCGTGACTAATATGAAGGAGCCTTTGGAGGCTCGTATGTGAAAGACTCTCGTGTCACTTGGAGGTGAATATAATTTCTGCTTTAAACAGTGATTTTTTTCAGTGAGCAACCTTTTGATGAATTGACTTCAATTTAAGAAACCCGATAGTGGAGCTGGTGCAGCACATTGCACCAAGGATGTTAAATTAAAACACTGAATATTGGCATGAAAATGTAGCCAGAAGTAACAAGCGAATACTGGAGTATCCTGCTCAAAACATCAACCAATGAAAAGCTGGTGATCTCAGTTGTGTCGTGTATTTTCATATGCCTCACTGCCAGAAAAAAAACCCTTCAATGCGTGCTGCCCCCACATCAACACCCACGCAGGAATCCCCTGCCACTGCTGCGTCGGTCTGATGGAGAGTCCTGAAAATCAGTCCCTGCGTGATCTCCCTCACTGGGCCCCTGTTGGCCCCTCATCTGGCTCCCAGCCTGACCCATAACACCCCCTGCCAAAGCAACATATGTAGTGGTGGAGGTGGCAGCAGGCAATCAGCCACCAGCTTCTTATTTTTCGCCCCACACAGGATGCAGGGCAATTGACAAAACATAAGAAAGGTTGACTGAGTGCTCTGTAAAGAGATAAAGAGAGATACTGTTGAAAGATGTGGGCAAGAGTGAGACGAGCACGACAACAACAAATCACAACAGCAAAGACAGATTTAATCAATGTTGACACTCTAATGTCAGTCTTTTTAAGAAACATATATATAAAAATTACAAAATGAATATTCACATTTTGATTTTTAACACTTACAATCATACAACAGATCAAGAAACCGCTTTTAAAATACATAAATAAAAGCAATATAAAACACAAAATAATAACATTTTACAATCATGTACAAAAAGGAGCATCTTATCTTGGGTTGATGGCTTCATCTCCAGGGTTCAGTGCCTGAGTGTGAACAATATATTATCTTTTAGTGACCAATTGTGCATCTACAGTATCCTCACATCCACAGATCACAACCAAAACCTCTCTTAAGAAAAAAATCTTATTAATCAGCTGTTACATAAGATATAATTCATGTACCTCTCCTCTCCATCCCGCACCAACTCTGGCACTCTTGTCTTGAGGAGAATCGGTTTCTGTTCCCACCACAGCCCCCATAGACAAACGGTCTGCACTCCCCTGAGCGAAGGTGGAAGTACCAGAGCAGAATGTACTCTGAGCAGGCCCCCTCTGCCATGGGCTCCAGGCAGCGGTCTGTTGCTGAAACTGCAGGTGAGATGAAAAAAAAAAGAGGTGAGGGGCGTGGTGAAAAAGGTTAAAAAAAAACAAAAAACCTTGAACCTGTCCAACAAATTAAGATGCTACAGATTCATCCCATTTTCCAAAATTTCGGGTGTTGGATGTGTAATACAAATGAGTAACCATCTGCTGAGTTGCTGAATGCTATTGATTCATTGTCATCTATTCTGATGTAAAGTAAAAGTTTAACCATATTCTTTACCACATTCTCTGTTACACTTCATATCTCCTCTCTCACTTCATATTTTTTATCTATAAGCTGCCTCATGAAATCTAACACAGGCAGTCAAACATTCAAGAATTACTTATCATTCTCTCCCACCTTGTGCTCTTAATAATTTCAACGCATTACTCATAGATGAAACATGAAATATCAAGAAAAAACAGACAAAAAATAGGAGTTTTGATATACAGAGCAAGTAAACAAGAGGAAGAAGAGAGGAGGAAGAAAGATAAAAAGAAAATTAGTTGTCTTGGCTACTCACCAGCAGTGTTTGTTCCAAATACCCTTCTTCTCTTTCTCTGTCCCCACTCCACAGTCCCTCCCTCAAGAGAATCTGAAGCCAGAAACAAAACCAATGAGAAATTTTATAGGTTGGTAGATTCAACCATCAAGAACCTAGAATGACAGACACTTAAAAGGTATAACATGTAACCACATGTCTAATTAAAAATCAAAAT